TCAACGGCTGGGTGGGCCCCATGGGCCACCCACCTCAAACTCTCAAAAACTGAAGAACGGGTGTGCAGACTGATAGCGCCCGCCCCTGAGCCGTTCTTTCTTTCTTTATTTCTTTCTTTCGTTCTTTCTTTCTTTCTTTCTGTTTTTTCTTTCTTTATTTCTTCCTTTTGTTTCTTTCTTTCTCTCTCTCTCTCTCTTTCTTTCTTTATTTCTTTCTTTATTTTTTGTTTACTTCATTCTTTATCTATTCCTTTCTTTCTTTCCTTCCTTCTTTTCGTTCTGTCTTTCTTTCTTTCTTTCTTTCTTTCTTTCTTTCTTTCTTTCTTTTCTTTCTTGTCTTTCTTTCTTTCTTTCTTTCTTTCTTTCTTTCTTTCTTTCTTTCTTTCTTTCTTTCTTTCTTTCTTTCTTTCTTTCTTTCTTTCTCTCTCTCTCTCTCTCTCTCTCTCTCTTTCTTTCTTTCTTTCTTTCTTTCTTTCTTTCTTTCTTTCTTTCTTGTCTTTCTTGTCTTTCTTTCTTTCTTTCTTTCTTTCTTTCTTTCTTTCTTTCTTTCTTTCTTTCCTTCCTTCCTTCTTTCTTTCTTTCTTTCCTTTCTTTTTTTCTTCTTTCTTCTTTCTTGCTTTCTTCCTTCCTTTCTTTGCTTCTTTTTTTTATTTCTTTTTGTGTATGTAAGCTAACCAAACGGCACCACACAAGCACGCGATAACTCTTTTATCCGAGCAATGTGTTGGTGCCAGGGACTCATCTTCCCCTGTCAGATGTCAACGGCTGGGTGGGCCCCATGGGCCACCCACCACAACTCTCAAAAACTGAAGAACGGGTGTGCAGACTGATAGCGCCCGCCCCTGAGCCGGGGCCCGGGGCACCCAGGCCACAGGGGGGTCTGCCACCAGGGGAAGTGAGTCACCCACCGGCTCCGGTCACGGGAGCATGGGTGGGCCCACGCTAAGATCAAATGCATCTCCATTCAGGAGACGCGGGAGAAAAATGAACTCCTCGCAGAGTTCCTGTTTGGGGACCCTGTGCAAAGAGAAATCTGGGTGCGTCAGATCATCAGCCGTGATTGGCCGCCAGCGAGCAGCCATGGGTGTGGAGCAGGAAGACCAGCTCCATCAGGATCGCCGCGGTGTAGGGCTTCTTGGATCCAAGGTTGAGCATCGCCATGACGTTGCCCTGATTGTCACTGCCCACCGGGAGTCGGACCCGGGAGGACAGAGGGCCTTGGTGCGTGAGGATCATGTTACAGAGGAAGAGCGTGCCCAGCATTTCCAAAGCCGCAATCCTCCGCTTGGGATCCCCATTCTTGAATGCCCAAGGGTACTCCTCCACGTGGATCTGCTCGTGGAACCAGTACACCTCCTTCTTTTCCGGCTCCATTTTGTTGGAGCACCATCCTCCCACAAATGCCAGTCCTTCGTCCGAGGCGCTAGCATCGCTGCAACCCCACCAAGAGGACTTCGGCAAGTAAGGGGAGTACTGGACGAAGGGCGTGTTGAAGAGGAACCGCAGCATGAACGCCAGCATCCTGACCACCTTGGGGGGTTTCCCCACCGTGGT